ACTGAATTAAAGGGAGAAATTGTGCCAAACATAAGCATCTGTCAGTCTGTTTGGTGACTGGCTGCAGTGTGACCAGCTATCTCACTTTTCTGTCACCATGCCTTCCCTATTTGATGGGTTGTGCCCTCAAACTGTGAGGTCCCTGTTCTGGGTCTCCTTCGCAAGCCATGCTTAAGTTGTATTGATATTTCTTTGTAGCTACAAGGAAAGTAACTAATATATATTTTCTAGCTATTACCTTATAAAGAAAAATATCACATTGGAGATGGGGGTGAAGGTTGAGGCAACCTAATTACTAAAAAATAACTCTTCTCTTTTGGGTGTCCGACTTTTCCTTAGGTTGGAAACAAAGAACTTCTAGTATTAAAATGGGTAAACAGGAATGAAACATATGTGGCATGAAATTAGAAGAGAGGAATGTTTTGAAAGGGAGGGGACCAGCAAGAGGAATGAGCAAGGATAGGGGAATGCATTGTAAGAGGAACATGAATAGGAACAGAGTGTGGTGGCATATGTTAAAATGCCATAATAAAACATTACTTTCTGTGTGAGCTTAAGGATAATAAAAATAAATTTAAAATGAGTAAAAGGAAAATTACCATTGAAGATGCTTTTTGATTTATACCTATTTAAATAAATATACTCAATAGCCAAGAGAAACTGAATAATAATGATAATAACAATTATTCTTTCTGCAGAAAGCTGAAAATTAGTAAGTTATGGAGTAACATTGTGTAAATATAGGATATAGGATGTATTTTTGTTTGTTTTGCTAACTTAGCACTTCTGTTTATATTGTCATTCTTGTTTGTCCCATGCAGAGGCATATAAAGCCTGCTTGGAAACAAGTTCTCTTATATGATTTATATAGAAAATTTTGTTAAAAATAAGAGATCTTATATATCAGAGTTTCTTAACCTTTTCCCACTCAGTATTCCTTTTTGCATGAGATATTTATATAGTAAACCAGGTATATAGATACATAAAGTAAGTACAGAAATAAAACCTTTACTGATAATAAATCATTCATAAATTTATTGCATAACAATTCTTTGGAATATAAATAATTTACATGTTAATGAGATGCATATGCTTATTTTTTATATAAAGAATGAAATCTTGGCTGAATATTTTGATACTGTAGAATGTGGAACATCTTCAGAGTCTTTCAAAATTTGATTTTATGATCAATTCTGAGAATTGATCATAAAATCATTTGCATCATAAAGTACAAAATGGCCAAAGTATAGTTAAGGCCATTTTAGAAATTTTTGTAAGTTCTGTCTAATACTAAGCAAAATTCATTGATCTTTAAAAAATAAAATTTAATTATTTACTCAAAGACTAATTTTAAAATAAAATGTTGTAATAATATAATCCAAAGTATACTCATTTGATACACGAACATACTGAGGAATGATGGTAGGAAAATGTGAAAAATCCTTGTTTTTCTGTAAACTATGTTTCTAAACATATGTGTGAAAAATGCTGTTCCTAATATTTAACAGTCACAAATCTGAGCCACTGTGTTTCAGGCAATAGTTGACATGTATGACATGTTATGTACAATGCAAAATATACATGTTATGTTCAGAGCCAGGGCTTCAGTGAAGTCATGTGATGCAATGGTGGGGGTTTGCTGCTAGAAAAACTTGAATTCCACTGCATGTTTGATTTTGAATTAAGTTTTGGTTATTGCACATTTGGAAACCTTCCACTATTGCCAAGTTTTTCATGACCTAGACATACAGTTATATGATTCTGTGTGGGATAGTGACTCACAGGTTAGGAGGCTGATCATGACCAAAGATATTAGTGTTTAGATATAAAGAAATCCATAGTCTGTTGTCCTTACTTTATAGCCAGTTTTGTGATGTGTGGCTTCTGGAGATTTGTGTATTAATAGAGATATTAATCACCATAATGTCCTTTGTATTTGTATTTTTCATACTGAAAAAGCTTTTTAGAGTTAATTTGCATAACTAGTGAGTATAAGTTAACCTGTACTTGTTGAGTACTTATTATGTATTTAAATGCTGCTAATATGAACCTGATAGTCCATTTCATAAATACAGATTGATTTTTAGTTGTCTAATAATGTGTGAGTATTGAAAACAAAATCATATTAGTAGAAGTACTTTATTTGAAACTTAGTTGCTGAGTACAATATTTAGGTTCAAAGCAGTAGATTTATATAGGAAACTGAGTGCAGGTGAAATAACACTTCCCCATACAGCAGAGTTGGGCAGTTGCAACTGAGACCATCTGGCTTGCAAAACCCAAAATATTTCTTGTATGGCCCTTTGTAGAAAAAGTTTGTTGATGTCTAAGAAGGATAATTATAGTGTTTACATCTATCTGATGAAGTCCTACTCAGGGTTTTTTTTTTTTTTTTTCTTCAAAACAAGATTCTAAGGAGTGGTGAATATGAGCATTCTTATTTTGTTCTCTAACTCAATAGGAAAGCACTTAATCCCTTACTGTTAAGGGTAAAGTTAGTTGTAGGCCTTTTACTGGTTTTCTTTAATAAAATGAGAAGACTTCATTATATCTCTAGTTTGTTGAAGGTTTTTTTAAAACATGAATGAATTCTAAATTTCCATATTTTGCCTCAATGGATGTGATCCTGGGGTCTTTCCTTTTAATCTATTAATATTATGGACTACATTGACTTCTTTTTTTCTCTCAATGTTGAACTAACTTTGCATTCCCCAGATAATCCCCATTGGTTGTTATGTACCATTTTCATCTAATATATATATATAAAATTAGTGATTTGATTTTATGTATTTGATTATAATATATTTAATTACAATTGCTATATTTATATATGTGAAGAGATAGATTTGCCTAATATGTATTTATATGTATAAGTAGCATCTAAAACATTTAATTATCATACTAATAGTTAATATTACTAGTATATAATTATATAATAATAGTATATGTATTTATTGGCATACATAATGGTGAATTTCAATATGACATTTTCATACATGTACATACTGTATTTTGATCATAATGATAACCCCACCCCCATTATCCTCTCTTGTCCTCTTCTTACTCTCATTAATCTATTTTCTCTTCTCAACTAGCTCCACTTTTTCTTGGGGGCTTGTTTGCTGGTATATGGATACCTCACTGGTGACTAAATTATTGAAAATATCTCTCCCTCCCCATCACTCTTTAAATGCATATAAATTCTTAGGGATGCATGAGGCCCCATGGTCCCCTGACCGTTCTATCACAGAGTGTTTTCTGGTTCAGTCTTGTACAAGTAATCACAGCTGCTGTGAGTTCAGGGATACTATAGCCACGTCATGCCCGAAAGTCAGTGTTCCATTCCATACCCTAACCCTGGCTCTTAAATTTTTTCTGTCCCTTCTTCTATGCTGTTCCTGAGCCTTGGATGGATGATACAGTTGTTGCGTTTATGGCTGGGCATTCAAAAGTCATTTATTCTCAGTACTTTGAACACTTAATGAGACTCTAAAGTCACACCTGACTAAGGCATAAAGCTATTCTTACCACAGCTGACAGTAGTACTAGTTTGTGGGTACAGTTATTTAGAAAGCAATTTGAGAGTCATATCATGTGCATTTGTCAAAAGAGTTGCATCAGCTTCCCTGCTATGGCCTATGACCATCTCAGTTGTAAACTTTTGACCTGGTTTATGGGACCAGATTTGAATTTCTTTCTGTGGACCAGGTCACAAATGTAATCAGAAAGTGGTTGGCTACCCTCCTAACAGACTTGCCACTACTTGGATTCATTTGGCCAACTGGTCAGTATTATTGCACATGGCATCCGTAGCTGAGTCAGACTGTTGATGACAATTTTCTTTCAGTAAACTGGCAAATAGCTGATTTTGATTTGCTAATGTAGATATATTGTTGTGTGGTGCTGGAAATTGATCCCAGGGCCTTGTGGATGCTGGACAGGTAGGGTACTTTGCCACTGAATTGCAATCCTCTCCAAGTTTTGATAATACATAGTTGAGATTTTTGTATATTTTTATGAAGTATATTAGTCTGTGGTTTAGGCATTGAAGGATTGGCCCCAGATGGTGATAGAATTTATCTTGTCCCTCATCCATTCCTGTATTGCTGTTTCTCTGTGTCATATCTGACATGAGGTGAGCCACTTTGCTCTATCATGTGTTTCACAGTAACCATGATGATCTTCTATGAATATTCATAACTGTAGTAAATATCCTTGTTTACCGTGTTTAGATGTTACTCTTAGTATGACTTGCTTTGTTTTCAGTTTTAGTTCAGTTTGAAATGTGTTCTAATGTAAACATTCCTCTTTGGTTTTTTATTTTATTTTTTTCTTTCTTTTAATGACAACTGAGCCTGGCTTTGAACTTGAACTCCTGATCACCATGTCTCTACTTCCCAAGTGCTAGGATTACAGATGTACACCACTATGGTGCAGTTGGTATTGTGCTTTCTGGGCAAGCATGCAACCTGAGTTTAGATCCCAAGCCTAGACTCAGAAAAGAAAATAGAAATAGAGTTCAAGCCGTTAGCGAGTCTAGCTGTTATTTCTTTCTCAGTATGAAATAGCCAATAAAGAACCAACCATCATCTGCTATCTTTCCTAAAACTTGTGATGTTTTGAAGAATAATTGAATTGTGTCAAAATGGTTAGTAAGTTGAATTTGTTAATATAATGCTAGAAGCTTACTGACATGTACCCATCTCAGCACTGGAAAAAATGGTAGGTAAATTGTTCATTTAAAATATGCCAAGGATGATGTACTTAAAAATTTCTCAAATTCAGATATGCTCTAGATAAATGTGATATGTTGCTCTTCATTTTAGCTGTTTTTAGTGAAGCATTATTATACCACTTTATTATTTATTTATTTATTTATTTATTTATTTATTTATTTATTTATTTATTTATTTTTATTCCCTCTCCCCTAACTCCTCCCAGGTCTATCTCACTTATATTTATATTTCTAATATTCAAATATATAATTTTGTCTTTCTCAGTCTGAGGGAAAAGGCCATAGCAGTACTGGAGATGCAATATATGAAGTGGTGAGTCTGCAGAGAGAGTCTGACAAGGAAGAGCCAGTTACTCCTACTAGTGGAGGGGGGCCAATGTCACCCCAGGAGGATGAAGCGGAAGAGGGTAAGAACTTGAATGTATTCAAAAGTGGTATATGTGTGTGTGTGTGTGTGTGTGTGTGTGTGCGCGCGCTTGTGTGTGCGCGCACCCTCACTCTGAGGGGTTAGTGATAGTTATTCCTAGTCCCTGATACACTTATGTTAGATTCTTTGACATGCAGAAGGAGATTTGGTTCGTTTGGTTCTTTCTTTCGCTGCACAGTCCCCAGTGCCTAAACACTATTAAGTAGCTGTTTAAACTTGGTAATATTGCCGTACTAGTTTGCTTCCTATTTGATTTCAAGTATTTCTGAAGTATTTAATTAGAAGTTTCAAATTCTCTGAAGTATGTTTAGAATTTCAGTGATACACTTTGCTTATCTTTGACACTTCAGTTTCAGCTCATTTTTGTGGTTCCTATATTCTTTACTCTTACTTCTCTGAAATAGCACACTATCTGTTCTCTTTACTACATGAATGCTAGTGAGCGATGCTCAGAAGACCCTTACATCATCTGGCTAGGGGCACAGTACTCTCCATAGCAACTAGGGCTAAACTGACAGGCCTCAGCTTTAGCTCTTACATGATTGCTTCCAATATGGGTTTGTTAACAGTACAGTTCTTTTTCCCTTTTTTTCCCCAAATATTTTTATTTTACTTTTATATATTTATGTGTGTGCATACATGTGTGTATCCATGGAGGCCCGAAGAGGGTGATAGATCTCTTGGAACTAGAGTCATAGGTGGTTGTAAGCTACCTGAAGTGGTTGGTGGGTGCTTCTCTGCAAGAGGAGTCAGAGGTCTTAACTGCTGATGCATCTCTGCTGCTCGACCAGATTTCTATATTAATATCATGTTTGAAAAAAATTTTAAAATTCTGTTTCTTTATGTATTTATATCATTTTGACAGTCATAGAATTATTTTTTATTACTTATTATTGACTAGTAATTATTTTTTTTACTTGTGAAACATCATTCTGTTTCTAATGTGTCAACTAATTTCATTGTTTTTTAATTGTACACATGCTTTTATTAAGTTGGCTTTAGGGATGGAACTAAGGCACAGAGAACATGAGCTACTGGCTTATGCCACTTGCCTGCAAGGGGCAGTGCTGATGTCTGAACCCGGGCTCTTTGATTCTACTAAACTGTTTTGTCACATTAGACAAGTCACTGAAATTTGTAAGTAACTGTTTAGAACTAAGGCAAATGTCCATAACAAAATCAGCCATCTAAAAGCATATAATATAGTAACATTGTTAAAAATCTTTTTACTTTTAAAAATTTCCATTACCCAAGAAATGAAAACTATTATCTAAGAAGTCACTCCTTGTTTTTCCTTACCCTAGCCCCTGACAACCACTAATTTGCATTTTTATTTGTTCTTTTTCTTGTCTGGGAGATTAATGTAAATAGAATCATAAAAATACTAAATATTGTATGTGGCTTCCTTTACTTGGCCTAATAATTTTGATGTAGTCCTCATTAATATACATTACAGCATATATTATTATTTCATACTTTTCATGTCTGAATAATAGTGATGTAGTTGTACCTCATATTATCCAGTTATCAGTTGAGGCAATTTGAGTTATTGGACCAGTTAGATCTTATAAAGAATTTGATAAATATTTATATAAAATTATTTTTATTTGTGTGAAATCATTGTGCATCAAAAGACAACACAGAGAAAACATAACAGCATGTGAATGATTATGTGAAAGACATATTGTCCTCAATATTTTAGTAAATTTGACAACTCAACAAAAAAGGTACAGAATGTAATTTTTTATGGTGAATTTGTATCCTATAATTTTTATTAGGTTCCTTTATTCATTTTAACAGTGTTTTGGTGGTATCTAGAATTTCTTTTAAGATCATGTGGTATATAAACAGGAGCTATTTAACTCCCCGCCCTTTCCTGTATTACTTGGATTACGTTACCTAATATATTTAGCCCAGAATTCTAGTCCTGTGTTATATAGAAGTGGCAAGAGCGAGTGTATTCCTTCCAGAATCTAGAAGTGATTTCAGGTTTTCTCATTTAGCAGATTACTTTTGAATTTGTCATATACAGCCTTTATTGTGTTGGTGCACATTTCTTCTATAGCTAATGTGTTGAAAGGTTTTAGTGTAAGGCATACTGAATTTTTCATTGTGTTTCATGTATCTGTTAAAATGATCATGCATTTTTGTTTATTCTGTTAATGTGACACACACATACTGAGTTTTCACTCACCAGGTAGTCTTTAGTTCTGGAGATGTGTTCCACTTGATTGTAGTCAGTTACCTTTTCAATGTACTACTAAGTTGGCTGTGCTATTCTTTTCTTAAAGGATTGTCATCTGTCTTTGTCAAGGGTATTGAATTCTGTTTGTTTTATAATGTTTGAATGGCTTTTGTGTCAAGGCAATTCTGTCCTCATAGCTTGAGTTTGAAAATGTATTCTTTCAATTTTGGGAGTAGTTTAAGTAGAGTTGGGATTGGCTTTTGGTTTTTCTGTAAAGGCTTAGTAAAACTCAGCACCGAACCTCTAGGTCTTGGCTTTCTTTCTTAGGATATGTTTTATTATTCATTCAATTTCATTATATCTTATTGATCTGGTCAGCTTTTCTGTTTCTTAGGATCTTTTTGTTGTTATTTTTTTTAACTTCACTTTGGTTTTATGGTCCCACTTTACAGAAATCTAAAATTATGTACATATATATGGATTTTATGCTGCTGCTGCTGATGATGATGATTAATTTTTTTGAGACAGCATTTCTCAATGTAGTCCCGGCTGCCCTCGAACTTGCTCTGTAGATCAGGTTGGCCTCCAACTCAGAGATCTGCCTGCATTTGTTTCCTGAGTGCTGAGACTAAAGGCATATACCACCACTGCCATCTTATTTGTTTTTTAAGTAATTTTTTTTATTAATTCTTTGATAACTTCTGAAGTATATTTTGGCCATATTTATTCCCCCTCCCCTAACTGTTCCCAGGTCTATCTCACTTCCCTATTCATCCAACTTCATGTCGTCTCCCCCTCTTTTTAATTTAAAGCCTATTTACTTGTGGACATAGGGTCACCCCCTAGAATGGTCCACCTACCAGAGGTTACACTCTTAAGGAAAACTGACTCTCTTCTTCCAAAAGCTATTACTGTCAGAACTTCTCAGCTAGATATTGATGTGATGGGTTATTAATTATTGAATGTTTCACTGTGGTTATTAGTTACCACCATGTGGTTTCTTATGCCTTTCACTTTATCAGTTTTCTAAATTGAATCTTAGGTCATTGTCTTAGTTAGGGTTTCTATTGCTGTGAAGAGACACCATGACCATGGCACCTCTTATAAAGGAAAACATTTAATTGAGGTGGCTTACAGTTCAAAGGTTCAGTCTGTTATCATCGTGGTGGGGAGCATGATGGCATGTATGCAGGCAGACTTGGTGCTGGAGAAGTCAGGCAACAGGCAGTTGACTGAGACACTGGGTGGTATCCTGAGCATAGGAAACCTCAAAGCCTGCCCCCACAGTGACACACTTGCTCCAACAAGGCCATACCCATTCCAACAAAGCCACACCTCCTAATAGTGCCACTTCCTATAATACTATTGGGGCCAATTACATTCAAGCTGTCACAATCACTATATGTCTTCTCTCCAAATGTAGGAGCCCTCATAAATAATCCCTTCTTCAGTTGTTTATATCTTCAAAGCAGGGCACATAGCTGATTTGTTTTTTTACTAAAAAATTCAACATGGCTCTTAAAAAGAGATTTATTTTTACTTTAATTATGTATATATGTGTGTGTGTCTCTGGGTATGTGAGTACCAGTGGCCATTAAAATAACTGCATCAAGATAAAATTTACTTATTTTAATGAACCTGTTTTGAGTGCTCATTGGAGTTTGAAAAATAGATGCATCTAGATGAATATTGGTATAATTATCAGCTTTTAAATATTCTTTGATAATTTCACATATGTATGTGGAGTTTGGGTATTTTTATCCCTGTTACTCTTCCTCTCCCTCCTGCTGAAAGCTTTTTCTTACCCTAACTCCCCTTCTAGTTTCTTTTTTCTAATCCATCTCTCTCTTTTTTTAATCCACTGAGTTAATTTTAGTTGCTTCCTAGAGTATGAATCTGGGTTTATTTTTTGGGAAATGGACATCTTATCAGTGGCTACATTGATAAGAAAATAACTCCTGGAGCTGGAGAGACTGCTCAGTGGTTAAGAATGTGAACTGCTCTTTTAGAGGATCCAAGTCCAGTTCCCATGTGCGGTGACAAACTACTACCTGTAAAGTTAGCTCCAGAAGATGCAATGAATTTTTCAGTCATTAGAAATAGTATTATACTGTGAGAGACCTTTTATAGTTAGGTAATAAGACGGCCTGAAGTCATTCATCTTAGTGGCTATGTGGAGAAGGTAGGTTCAAATCAGACATTAGATTACTGATATTTTAGCAATAGGTCCAGGAAGAAAGCCCTAGCTGAAGGGTCTGCAGAAAAATAAACTGAGCAACCAAGGGAAAGAAAGGCAGTGTAATGCAGGTGCAGGGGTTGAAATTCTGAATCAGATAGTACTCTGCCCTGTCATATGGGGCAGGAGCCTTGGGATAAGAACTCAAACCTGAGCATTGGATTTGGGTATTTGAGAAGTCCCCTGGTCTCTTTGATAGTGATGCTACTAAAGTGAAAACAGGCCTTGTTTTGTATTGAGACTAGAGGTGAGGAGAACAGTGTTTGAATTACTCTTCGAAGAAATTTGATGAGTAGATTGAACTAAAAATACTAGGTTATTCTGGCCAACTGAGGGCATTTTTAGGATACAAGAGATTTGACTGTCTTTGTAGTTGGATAGGGAAAGCTAAAAATAGAAAGGAATTCACACACCCAATTCTTAAACATAGGCTTCCTGACTTGCTTCTGTGTCTTTACAAATGTTGCTTGCTCTGCTTAGCAGGTTTCTTCCACTTAAGTCCACCTGAGTAAGCCTTTTCAACCAAGGCATGTTAACAGCTAAAAGAAAAACAGTAATT